AATTTTAAACATATATGGAGATTAAAAATTATCTAGAAGAGCAAAAGTAATTTTGAGAAAGTTACAGTTGTCAACACAGTGTGCCCACATAAATACAGTAAATGACTTTTAACAAAGATACAAGGCAGTTCAATAGAGAGTGAAGAGTTTTCAAGAAATGTTAGTGAAATAAAGGATGTCCATATGTAAACCACATGAACCTTGACACATACTTCACTGCCTAAAGAAAATAAAAAATAAAACTCAAAGTGGGTCATAGACTCCAATAGAAAGTATAAAAAAAAAATATATTTATAATAGAATTATAGGAGAAACCCTGTGTGAACTTAAGCAAGAGTTTTTTTTTTTTAAGTATAACACCAACAGCACAAATCTGAAAAAAAATATTGATATATTCGACTTCAGCAAAGTCAAAATTGTGCTCAGCCAAAGACACTCAATAGAATGAAAAGGCAAGCCACAAACTGTGATATATATATTTGAAACTACAACTTTCTGGGATTTATACCAGAAAAATAGAGACTTTTGAAACTCATAAGAAAAAATACTGGCAAAACACTCGAACAGACCTTCATAAAGATAACATACAGGGCTCAGGTGCAAGATGGCTGAGAGGACAACACCTGGAACCAAGCTCCCAGCGAATGAGACACAGAGGGCTAGAGGACTTTATGATTGCAAAAGAGGTTCTGGGTCATTTGGTGTGATGGAGGACTCTGAAAATAGCCCTTTCTCTCGGGCTGCCCTTATGATTTTTTTCCTTCATTTCTGCCCTGGTGAATCTGACGATTATGTGCCTTGGGGTGGCTCTCTTCAGGAATATCTTTGCGGTATTATCTGTATTTCCTGGATTTGAATGTTGCCTGCCTTGTTAGGTTGGGGAAGTTCTCTTGGATAATATCCTGAAGAATATTTCCAACTTTCATTCATTCTCCCCATAACATTCAGGCATGCGGATCAAGTGTAGATTATATCTTGTTCACATAATCCGTAGTTCTTGGAAGGTTTGTTCATTTCATTTCCTCTTTTTTTGCTAATCTGGCCTTCTCATTTTACTTCATTGATTTGATCTTCAGTCTCTGCTATCCTTTCCTGCTTGACCAGTTCAGCTGTTGAATTTTGTGTATGCCTCTTGAAGTTCCGTTGCTGGTTTTCAGCTCCATGAAGTCATTTATGTTCTTCTCTAAGATGGTTATTCTAGTTAACATCTTGTCTAAACTTTTTTCAGGTTCTTAGTTTCTTTGCATTGGTTTAGAAGAGGGTTTTTTAACTCAAAGAAGTTTGTTATTACCCACCTTCTGAAGCCTGCTTCTGTCAATTTCGTCACTCACTTTCTGTCTTGTTTTGTTCCCCTGATGGTGAGGATTGCAGTCCCTGGGAGGGCAAGAGGTGTTTCTGTCTTTGATGGTTTCATCTTTTTGCACTGGTTCTTCCCATCTTTGTGGACTTATCTCTCATTGATCTTTGAAGTTGGCAATTTTGGGAGGAATCTCTGAGTGGACATCCTCTCTTGTGGTTGGAGCTGATAAAGGAAAGATCACACCGATTCCCTCGGAAATACAAACTACCATCAGAGATTACTACAAACAGCTCTATGCACATAAACTTAGTAAATCTGGAAGAAATGATAAATTCCTGGACACTTGCACACTCACAAGACTAAGCCAGCAAGAAGTTGAAACCCTGAATAGACCCATAACAATGTCTGACGTTGAGGCAGCAATTAAT